ATGTCACTGTGATCATCGCATGATCTCACGTGTTGACTGGGAAGTGCATCTTTTTTATTTTTTGAGAAGTGAATTTACATCCACTGGTTTCTTACCTGCAGAGAGAATTTTATAATGCCTCTTTTCATAATCGCAGCCTTTAGAAGCTCTGGCCTTTTTGAAGTTCATTCTGGAATCAAATGGAACACTTGACATTGACATTCCTATTATGCAGACACACTCCTCAATCTGTTGCACTGTTACGTCCTCGCACATGTTGCTCCACATGACACACTGTTTGGAAAAAGATGTGCCGGGTTATCAGAGCAACTTGCCACTTCACAGCAAAAGCCAATCTGAGCAAATGAGATCTTGCAAGATCTCTGAAGCTGAAGTTATTGGATGAGCTTGGACAGGAACTCTGCAATCAGACTGTTCATTCTACATTCATCGCATTTGCATGATTAGAAATATGGTGTACCCAGATGATGCAATCAAAAGAATATTAAAATCCATTTGTCATTTCATTTCTACATGCTGCCTTGTATGAGGGACTACAGATGAAATCTAGTTTTTAGCTAATACTGTTATTATATTGCCTAATTTGAATTGTCCTTGTACGTATAAATGAATATTATGGAATAAATCTGCTAGCGATTCACAGGGGTTTAGGAAATATGTCTTGTGTTTCACAAATGTGACAAAATAGTATAATATTGTACGTGTCGGAAAGAATCAGAGGAATCTTATAAATACATTCCCAGGTAACTTTTCACTCCCAAATTAAATATCAACTTGAACCTTTTCCCCCATTAATGTTATAGAGTATTTTATATGTGCTAATAAAAAATAAAAAATAAAAAATTGGGCCGGTTGCATAAGATGAAAGTGTGTCATGCAATGTTTGACTGTCATTAAATCAGGGAGACTTCTTGGGCGATCGTGACATCATTTACAGAAGAATAATCAACACTTAAGACAAAAACATTTATCATGGTCCCCCTTTTTTGTTTGTTTTTGTCTTACTACTTGCTGGCAAATATGTTATTTAGTATGACCCTATCACCTTGACATTATTTAATTGACAGGTCACATTGGAAATTTCTTATTAAGGTAACAATGACATCACTGTAAAAATGTTTGTCATTTTTACAGAAAAAATACAGTAAAACTGTTACATTAAAAACCTGTTAATTGGTTAAACGTAAGTCGCATATACAGTGAAAATTGTAAATGGTTTACCATAGCAGTATTAAAAATTATTATCTGTTGTTCAGGTAAAAACTATGATTACGGTGAAATTACAGTGAAAAACAGTAAAAGGACATTCCGAGAAGTCCCTGCATAAATAAATGTCATTATTTTTGCTAGCGGTAATATAGGGTGTTTTGTTACATTTTCTCTTATTTTGTTTGTTTATTGTTTGTTTTTGTCTCAGTTATGTTCCATTCATGGACTTTGAGTTCACTGTTAGACTTTGCTGTAATTTTACAGTTACTTCTGCCAGTAAATTACCGCAAAAATATGATAAAAAGTCTAACAGTGTTGTTTTCATTCATCCCACGTGTTCCTTTGACCTAGTTTCTGTTTCCCATTGATTATGTTAGTTAGTTCACCTGTGTCTAGTTAATTAAGTCATTTAGTCCCTCTCTTGTGTTTGTTTATGTCTCCCCGTTCTGTTCCTTCAGTTGCGGTTATTGTTTATTGTTATGTTTGCTGTTTGTGTTTCCCTGTGTGTTCTTGGATCTCCCTCTTCTCCTTGGATTATTATTAAATGCTATTTGAATCATCTCCGTGCGAGAGCCCTGACAGTTATGTTAACGTTTATTGCATTTTGTGTTGTGTGTAACTCTGATGGTTGTCACATTTTTTTTAATGGTGAATTTCTGGCAACCACAGCTGCTTTTTTTATTTTTTAAAAACCAATGTAAATAAAAATGTAAATAAAAATAGCATTTTATATAGAGTTTTGACTGTTAGAGAGTCATTTTAAATTTTTAATGGTGAGCTATTTTAAGCTACATATTCAGGTATATTCTTTTTTTTTTTTAATAACTCAGCTTTGTAAATGCAGAAAACTTTCATTTCAATAAGTTGGAATTGCTCTGTGATTAGATAATCATAAGAAGTAAACTAGCAGCAGAGTAGAATTCATGTAAATCCCATATGAATTCCTGAATGGCCTGGCTGATGTCGTCTCCAGTCATCTTCTTTGAGATTGTGTGTGTGTGTGTGTGTGTGTGTGTGTGTGTGTGTGTCTGTCACTCCATCA